ATATATATATATATATATATATATATAGATATATATATATATATATATATATAGATATATATATATATAGATATATATATATAATTAAACACTTAAGATATCAAAGAGTAATCCGAAATTGCTAAATTTGTTATAATTAAAAGAGCTACATTTAGTTTAATCAGATTAATGATATACAAAATAATTTTACTTTAATCAACGAAAGTATTTTACAAAAAAAGCTTAAGAGAAGCACATTGAATATTTAGATGTTTTCAACAAGCGAATAAAGAGACTAAATAACGAAGACTTTAAAGGAGGGAACGTAAAAAAGAATATTTCGTTCATGCAGATTTATTTCCTCTATGCTGACGATGCACTTCTGTTTAATACAATAATAATGTTATAATGTTTTAATAATACAGTATGTTCCTCACAGATAGGATGCGTGGTAGATATCCTGCTACAACTACTGAGGCCATCATGTATATACCAGGTACCCCTTATTTTTATTTTGATATATTATGGATAATAAAAGTTAGAATTGCAAAAATGTATATGACGGATTTTTTGGGTTAATTTAAACCTATATATAAATACCTTTACTCAGTATATAACAATGTTATATACTGAATAAAGGTGGTAAATATCACACAAAATGGATTTGTAAGATTAGAAACATTATTAATAAAATGTTTATCATATTTGTGTTACGATCGCTCCAGGTTATATTTTAACTTTAAGGGGTCTGAACTAATTTGTCTAAATTCATGACTGGTAGTCACAAAGAGAAGAGATATTTATGTGATTATGCTCCAACAGAGTGTACGTTTGACTAGAGGATCATTGTATATCCGCTTATTTTTTACAAATGGGAGCTTCAGGATTTATAGATAATTTAACATTAAAGATATCAAAAAAGGTAACCAACCTTTTGAAATTTGTTAAAATAATAACAGCTACTTTTAAGTAACCAATAAATACTTTGCATATTCATAATGTTCTTCTTTATTGTGTTGTAGATGTGCATTTTACTGGGTAACAAGTGTCACTGTTGACGCATTTTATTTCAGTTTAATTTTATATGTTTGTGTATAACTGTGTTTATATATTTTGTTGATGTACGGAAGCCCAGAGAGGGTACGTGAATTTTATTTTTTTGTGTTTTTGGATATATTATCTCTGTAGGGCTGGGGAATATATACAAATTATGTTGATATATCGTGACAAGAGATATATCGTCTTAGATTTTGGATTTCGTAATATGACACAAGTGTTACCAGACTTGTATTATTTTGAACCTTGTCCTCTCAGGGCTTCCGTACTTAGGGCTCATCGTGGAATCAAGAAAAGTCTGTCCTCATCTATCTGTTTGTATTTCAGAGGAGACCACCGGCACCCCGTATGTCGTGCCCTGGTATGAAGAGTATGATTACGCTGACCGTACGTCGATCATCAATATAACTTCCCATCAATAACTGAATGAGTTATTGATCGTTGCAATGAGATGAAGTCTTCCTGATTCTCTCTTCACAGTGGCTGCAAAGAAACAAGAAGAGGAGGAGGACAGAGCTCGAAAAGAAAAGGCAGAAAAAGGTTTTGAAATTTACACTTTGTCTGGAAATCGTGTGGATTAATCCGCCGCTGAAAATAGTCCCAAACAAATGCTTTTTAAACTTTCAAGTCTTCATTAAAAACCGATGGACTTATTGAGAGACGGACTGTTTGATTGGTTGACAACAACACCAGACTTTTGCTTCATCCTTAATGCTTCAGTGGTTTGTTATGAATGACAGAGATAAGACAAAAGGACAAGAGGAGATTGAGGTGGGAGGAGGAATGTGGATTGTTATCTAAAGCTCAGAGACCAGCGGATGATTTTAAAGAGGCAGAGAGGAAGTGAAAAGATCAGTTTGATAACAAAACTTTCCAAGTTCCAAAACTTTGAAATCCAGACGGTTTTCTGCACGAACAACCTTGAAGATATGAACTCAAACAGAGTAAAGTGACCCACATTCATCCTGAAGGAATGTGTGAGGAATGCACGAAGGTGAACTAGAAGAACATGTGGAAATATTTTGTGCGGCAGTGTTTGGCTGGAGAGCGAGGTCCGTGTTCTGACACGTTGTTTTCTCATCACGCTGTGAAGCCGAGCGGCTGAGGAAGAAGTGGGAGGAAGAGGAAGAGGAGCGACTGAAGCAGATCTCACTTCCTGTTGAACTCAAAAGTAAGAGAAGTACTGAAGTTTGTTTTTAAAACCTCAAATTAAAGACAGATATGTAAAGGCTTTTGTTTTTGAACTATTGTACTTGAACACAAATTTGAGGTATTTTTTGAGTATTTATACATTCTGCTACTTTATACTTCTACTCCCCTTGATCTCAGAGGTACATGTTGTACTCTTTACTGTACTACATCTCAGAGGTACATATTGTACTTTATACTGAACTACATCTCAGAGGTACATATTGTACTCTATACTGTACTACATCTCAGAGGTACATGTTGTACTCTTTACTGTACTA